ACTGAAAAAAGCACTTAAAAAGGTATTTTTTTTTATAAGTTGAGATAAAACTTTTTTTACATATTCATATTATACTTAATAAAATTATTTCTAAAAACCTAATCGAAACACCTCCACCTAATCAACACATAGCCTCTGTTAGAGGCTGAAGAATTTTTTGCATTATTGCTTATAGTTGATGGATAAAATCACACCATACTTAGGATGATCGCAATTACTATCTTTGATCTTTAATATAAAAATTCATTTGACTTTTATTTTGATCATAAATATAAACTTAAATATACTTTTATTTTCATATTTATTTATTTTATTTATTTAACATAATCATTTGTAACAATAGTAGTTCTAACAATATACTATATTAGCAAAGAATATTTTAAGAAAGACAACACCTATTTATTACAAATAACTAACTTAGCTAATTTTTTTGATTGACTCAGATTAGTCAACTAGCTTTTATATTTAGGACCTGAGGTAATATTTGCATAATGGTTTGTGAATATTTTTACATCTTAAAAACTAAATTATAGAATTTTCAAAACTAAATCAAGGCTCACAGTGTTCAACGGATTATGCACCACAAACAATAATAATTTGACCAACATTTAGTCCAATAAACATGAGGCATAAACAATTGACTATTATTTGGTGACAAATAATTTAACTATGTTTGTTTTTACCATAATTGAAGACCGCAGGGGGAGCTATCTGTATTAAATACATCTCTCTTTTTTTCCGAAAAACGCGTTGGAAAAAAAAGGAAAACAAAAGGAACGCATAGCTGTCTTTGAAAATTCATTGAATTGGCCTAAAAGAGACCTTACATCAGGGTCAGTGGATAAATTATTAAATAAATCTGTTAGATATAATAAGCTTACCAAAGATTCTGATAAAATTATTCTTATTTTCCGGCAAAATATCTACCATATGCCCCGATATTAATTATTGAATTGAAATTTAAACATTTATAATTTATAATTCACGTGAAAGTATGAACATAATCTGAACTTGGCTCCAATACGTGCTGGGTCAGCCTGCCCGAAATCTCGGCGGGCAGGTCCAAATTCCGAGGTCCCTCCATTTGCTTAGATAACTGGCTCAAGCTCCTCTCCCGCCTTGGCTTCAAGGACTGTAAGGTCGTCCGACGCCACTACTACGACCACCGCCACCTCTGCCGTGGAAGGTGGCGCGTGTGCCTGTAGCTCGGCAACTCTTGCTTCCTGTGTTGGCGATTACTGACGACGGAAGGAGAGGTAATCGATTATGGGTCAGGGGCTGAGTTGCGGGCAACACCATGAAAATGCTCTGTTTGCTGCTGTTGCGGGCGGAGCCTTGGAGGTAGTTGAAGCTATGATAGAGGAAGACCCTGCAGTTCTTGAAGAGACTTCCGGTCATGCTAAGCTTTCCCCTCTCCATGCAGCTGCCGCCAGCGGTCGGATCGAGGTTGTTTCTTGCTCTTACCCCTTAATCTTTTCTATTTTTCTCAGATTTTAATGGCGTTCTTTGTATTTGGTGGTTTTTTGTGGGTTTGGTCCATGAAGCACGGTACCTGGTGAATGGAGTTGAATTGTGTCTGAAATGTGTCCGATGCGACACTTGGTTGTATTTGCGCAACTTATATTTTGCAGCTACTTCTTTGGTTTTCATCATGGTGGGTGTTTTGATCTTGGCCAGGTACTTTCCATGTTATTGGACCGTTCTGTTAATGTCGACATCCTCAATCGCTATAAACAGGTGCATCTCTTATCCCTGATGCTTTCAATTGAACTGAAAATACCGTCTTTCTAGCTGAAATACTGTCTTTTCTAGCTCATATCTTGCTTCCTTCTTCCTCTATTTGTCTTCAATTGCTTATTCGTTTTTTTTTTCTGGGGCATAGACACCGTTGATTTTGGCCGTGATGCATGGAAACACTAGTTGTGCGGAAAAGCTTATTCAAGCTGGAGCTAATGTATGTTATACTCGATTGTTTTTCAGTTTGAATCTTATGGATTTATTGTAGTTGCGTTGATTCTTACGGATTTACGGATGGCTTGTATTGTTTCAGATATTGATGTTTGATTCTTTACGTGGTCGAACCTGCCTTCACCATGCCGCTTATTATGGCCACATAGATTGCCTGAAGGCTATTCTTTCTGCTGCCCGTTCCTCACCAATTGCAAACTCATGGTTAGGTTCTTTTTGATGTCTTCCAAGTAAAATGCTTTGACCATCCTGCATTTAGCCGTAAATGCACCTATGCTGAATCCATTTTCAGAATTATGCTCAGTACAGTGCTTAACATAAGTATTGACTGAGGCATAGATCAGTCAAAGGCTAGATTCATTGGTTATCTGCCTAAAAACTTCGATTTATTGTAATCAACTTGTTAGAGTTTCAAAAATTGTTAATTAAGGGTACTTTAGGCATAGACAATTGTTAATTGTAATAAAGAGTAGCTCTATTTTTTGATCAGGGGGTTTGCAAGATTTGTTAACATAAGAGATAGAAATGGCGCCACTCCACTGCATCTTGCAGCCCGTCAAAGACAGCCTGAATGTCTTCGTGCTCTTTTAGACAATGGGGCTCTTGTTTGTTCATCACCTGGTGGATATGGGTATTTCTCTTTGAAGTTATATCAGTTTGTCGTGAATAAATATTATTGATATTTCATTGAGATTGATCAAAGTATAATCTGCAGTTATGCAGGGAGCACACCACTTCATTTGGCTGCTCGTAGTGGTTCTTTGGATTGTGTTCGAATCTTGCTTGCTTGGGGAGCTGATAGGCTTCAACTAGATTCCTCTGGGTAAGTAAAGATTTATTTCATTGGTCAATGTTATAGTAATAATAGGCATATTTCAGTTACATTCGTATTGTACCATTCATGTAATTGTGTGACTTCCTCATACTTTAATTAATGTATATCGCAAATGGCACTTGAAGCTAGTAAAAATCTTCTCATTTATTGGATTTTACCAAATAAGGTCTTACTTTGTTCAATCCTTTCCTGTCCTTGGCTCCATTCTTGCTCTTCCTGGATTCCTTAATCACTAAAAGCAAATCAATTAATAGCTGGCTTAAAATCTTATTACAAATGAACCTCTGCAGGAGAATACCGTTCACAGTTGCCTTGAAGCACAAGCATAAGGCATGTGCTGTCCTGCTGGACCCTTCATCAGCAGCACCACTTGTTTGGCCATCCCCATTGAAGTTCATCAGTGAGCTCAATGAGGAAGCAAAAGCCTTACTGGAAAAGGCCTTGATGGAAGCTAACAGGGAGAGGGAAAAGACCCTACTGAAGGAGGGAGACATTCCCTCATCTCCCTTGCATTCTGATGGTGAAGATGATGATATTGACTCTGAGGTGTAACATTATTTTCTGACCGCTTAAGACCTTTCAATTTAATCTACTTGATTTGGTTGAAGATTGTGCTTCAGTATATGTGGTAAAATATGTTCTTCTTGGTCATTCATATTGCGATTGCTTGTAATTAGTCCAACAGATTTAATTTGCCTCACTTGGTTTTCTTTTGCATATTCTTCTTGCTTCTACCTTTGTCAAAGACTTCAGTGGGTATCATTGCTTCCTATGTAACGACAGAAAATTTCTCCTTACCTCATGCATGCTTGATGGGGATGCACTCAGCTTGCAGTATCCTTCTAACTGAATTAGGTGTATAAATGCATGTGCTTAGTCTAGTGTTTTATTGTAGTACGACCAGAACTTCAACAAAAAGATAGTAAGGGTGTTTTTTATTTTTTAGTGAAAAATAATGAGTTTCTTTATTTGATTTTATTTCTGCTCATTTAGGCCAGCAGCAGTCTCGAATTATGTTGTATATGCTTTGACCAAGTATGCACAATTGAGGTCAGACCATGTGGTCATCAAATGTGTGCTCATTGCACCCTAGCATTATGCTGTCACAAGAAGCTCGATCCAGGAGCTGCTTGCTCTACGGGACCAGCATGCCCTTTTTGCCGAGGAGCTATCCATGAATTAATTGTTGCTCAGATCAAGGATAGCAGTGATGCAGAAGTTGAGTCTAGTCCCACGGCAAAGCCCAGGAGATCAAGAATATCAAATTTCAGTGAAGGAAGCAGCAGCTTCAAGGGTTTGTCAGCTATGGGTTCATTCGGGAGGATTGGAGGTCGCAACTCAGGAAAGATTACTGAAAAGTAATGAGGCAATTATTGAGTCTTGCTGCAGTTCTTTACTTCCGAGCCAGTCAGGAAACTGATATAATGGTGATTTTACCCATCCTTGGAATAGCTACCTATATGGATATAGTATTTGAGGTCAATTTTTTTGTTTTTTTGGGGTAACAGAGTGAAGGATCGCAAGATCGTGAGCGACAATAGGTGGCTTAAATTCTTAAATCCCTGTTTGAGGTTTTGTAATCTGCTTCTCAGTTGATTGGACTTGGAGATCAAGACCTTTGTGTTTGCTATCAAATATCAAATATAGTATTTCATGAGATAAAGGTACTTCTCTTTGATGCTTGATTATGATTATATCAATGGTTGAGGTGCAAATTTATTCGAAAATTTAAAATTATAGCAATTTTACCTCCTAACGTTAGAAATATTAATTGTTAATATCATTATTTTAATGCTCAAAATTAATTTTTTAACAGTAGGGGGCAAAAAAAACTTCTAGATACCCAGCGCTCTTGAATTTAAACTTTTGAGGTAAATTTGTATCATAACATTTTTATTAATATGCACACTCGATCAAGTTTTACTCATTTATCACCTTTCTCTAGATAGAAAGCGTTTTATGTTTATTGAATTATTTATAATCATATCTCTAAGGAGTGCCACACGCTGGCAATGGAAAAGGTTAAAATATGTTTTGACCAAACAAGGAAATAATTCATAGTAATTAAATGATTATTATGAAGTTCTGCAATTGAAAACCTAATGGTGAAACCTTCCTGATACAAGTATTAATACCTTTCTTTTTAAATAAATTAATAAATAAAATCTTCTTTGGGTAATAGAAGTGTATTTGTCCCATTTTATGAGATAAGATTACACACATTAAAACAAAAGGCAAACAACTGAACCTCTCACTAATTCAAGTCTTTCATATCAACATCCTCCTGGTTGAAGTGGACACTAGTTCACGTAATTATGTGACTAGTAAACAGAAGATGCCAAAAGATACAAGAGATTCTTCCAAAACAGCTGAAAAACTCCAGACCTGGGAAGTGGGAATGAAAGAAACTTGAAATCAACGAGCCACCAATAAGAAAAAAAGCTATCACTTAATTGGACTCATCCACACAAACAAGGGAAAGCTACCAGTCCTCCATATCCATTACTTTGTCCCAGCAATGCTCTGTCTGGCTCTCTCCCACCCTCTTCTCCCTCCATTGCAGCACACTCAGGAGCAGCAACTTGATCCCCAAGAAACAACGAGTTTGACTCTCTAACTGGAGAGAAGTCATTAACCCCATAAGGGTAAGAGAATGTTCTGTTTCTCCAAGTGCCCGCATTTGCAGCCCTCCTCTCTTGTTGAAGGTAGTGACCAAGAGAGGGAACATTGTCGCCGTTCATGGCGACGGCGTCGGTGGTTAGCCTCGAACAGAGTGAGAACAACCATGGCTTCAGCTTGTGGCTCTTCTTGTTGTTGTCCCTCAAGGGTTCCACCATTCTTCCCCTTGTGGATCTTCTTGAGAGTTCAAAGATGCTTGAAATACCAATGAGGCTCCCAAGTGTGTTATTATTGCTCTTGCCATGGAAGAATGATCCAGTGGACTGTCATGAGAAATTAAGGCAAAAAATCATCTCAATGGAAGATAATTTTATCGTAATATTTGTTAGCGTAATTAACCCAATCATTCATAATTCAGATTATGTTTGGTTAGACAAAGATTTTTAAGAGAATCATAAAAAGTACAAGTACAACAGAATGCAAATCATGTTTGGTATAACCACCAAGAAAAGATATTTCTAATAGAATATTTTTATAGAGTGACAGGAATAAAAGAACGGCACGAAAATTACCAAAATGACCCTAAATGCAAAAATGTTAAAAACCCTTTAATTAATTTCGTTATTTCATCACTTGTCTAGGTGAACAATTCTATTCCATCCTAACCTCATGGTAACAATCAAAGTCCATTATACTAATCAACAGCCTCATCAAATAATAGTAGGTGTTATAGGGTTAATTATTTTTTTTGGGGGTGAAATATAGGTTTAATTAATTTGTGTTATGTCATGAGAATATATTTTAGACACATTAATTAAATAATACTACCTTCGATCTTTAATATAGAAGCTCATTTGACTTTTATTTTGATCCTACATATAAAACCCCAATCCACTGTGTCTCATATTTATTTTTTTCCCAAAATAGTCTTTGTAATAATGATAATTCTAGCCAATATACCTGATTAGTAAGGATATTTTAGGAAAGACAGTACCTATTTGTTACAAATAACTAACTTAACTAATTTTTTTAATCTACTCAAATTAGTCAACTAACTCTTAGATTAAAGACCGGAAGCACCTATTACAGTCTAATTAAACATAATTTCTAAATTCTAAAACTAAGAATCCAAAAGTTAAAGCTAAGTTTGGAAAGGGGTAGCAGCAGGACATGGGGTGGACCCCATGAAAGGCAGGTAATGACCATAAAGGGAACAAAAGAAACTGAAAGAGCCAAAAGAAAGATGGAGGCTTTACTATTTGATGGGGCTTCTTCATTTCGTTCTTTCCCTTTCTTATTTACTTCTCATTTGGACTCTTTCCAAAGTAGAAGATGATTCTTCTTCCTCACCCAAATTAATGGAAAAGTCACAAAAGTGCTTAGTCAAAAGTCATGGTCCGACCCAACTATCATTAGTCTAGTACTGTAATATCATAAATCTTAGACCAGTTCAAACCTATTATATGGTAAAACTATAAAAAGAAAATCTTTTACATGTGAACAATATCTCAATTCTTCTTCTAATTAATACTCCTCGTGTCCCTAACATAAAACCTAATTATTAAGTTATTTTTTATTTTAAATATAAGACCATTTTTCATATTTATCAATTTTCTCTAAATTATCCCTATGAATATTCCCTCAACCATAATCAAGTAGAAGAGAAAGAAAGGGTATTAAGAAAGATAATTATGGTATTTTAAGAGAAACATGTCACATTTCTTATAATGAACTAATTTACCTAACTTCATTAATATAATCCAATTAGTTAAATGAGTCTTATATTAAGAACCAGAGGAGTATTTGTTTTGGACGATAAATTATCTTCTAATTATTCCTTCTAATCTTAAAAATAGGATCTTAATTTAATTTTTCTTTTAAATAATTCTCTTCCTAAACTATTATTATTGCATATGTTAAAAGAAGCCAGATTTCCATCAACATCCACCACAAATGGTTAAATAGGCATTTTAGAAATCTCAACACAATTTTTTTTACAAATAATCATCTTAATTAATTTCAATAATCTTCATAAAGTAGTTATTTAAATTTTATATTTAGAATTAAGGAGAGAATTATTATTTTTGCCTTGTCCTCCCAAAAGTGTGTGATACCTAATTCCCAGCTCCCATATGCTCATATGCTTCAATTTGGTCTAGTCAACCTTGGAATAAATCAAAATAGTTAATTGACGACAAAATGAGTGGACATAGTATTAGTATGGAGCGCCTCGGTTCCCCCCTCATCATTACATGTTTGATTTAAGCAAACCAAAACAATTACATTATATACCTATGCAATGCTGACGGATTTTGTGCAAACACACACACATATATAATATGTGACAATTTTACAAAAATAAAAACTTATAAAGGGAAAACGGGACAACATGACCACATTCTATCACTTTTATATAAACTAAATAGTGACATGTGCTTTGTATAAAAGTTAGAATGTGCTATGTTTTTTTTCTTAAAGCATAGGTATCTTCTTATTGGAGATAATTTTATTCAAAGCATTATCGAGTACTAAATGTGGACATTTCTTCCAGCAGTGATTCGAACCTTAGTTCGTCACGTTGTAAGAGATTAGCCTATTCTTTGCTATACTAGTTTTGTTTTATCTGTGGATGATGATCTGATTTTCTATAAAAATTTTATATTATGTACATACGTACATTGAAGAAAGTGGCCCAACCGAACCAATCTACTTAGGCCCAATCTTAAGCCCGAACCGAATTAATTAACTACACAATGCCAAAAGTCGATCTAGATGTATTTTTATTTTAAGAAAATTAGGAAAAAGTCTCTGATGAATTTGTTTTATAAGAAGGACCTAAATTAGTACTAATTACACTAAATAAAAAAATTAGAGTTCCAGTACTCCTTGTGGACAAAATTTTCATCTTACCAATAAAGTTTTTAATGGCAGATTTTTCCAATTTTTCCTTTTATTTTTTATGAGATGTATGGATTTACTATTTATAAAAAGAAAAAAAAATACATATTAAGATTTTGTTTGAGACTGCATGCTGGACAATATACGAAACAGAGGGAGAAAGAGACATGGACCCAGATTCTGTCTTCTTGTTAGGGACATGTGGTCTCTTCATGATAATTGACATTGACATTGAGAAGTCATATTTCGAATGAACTTCTTCAGGATGTTTTGTTCCACTAAACTTTCAAATAAATGTCATAAAATTTTGATGAAACCTTGTTTCAATTAGTCAGAAACAGAGTCATTATCTTTAAAACATCCAAAAATAAAGGCCAAAGCTGAGGTGCTCTGTTTCTATGATGTCTTTATAAATAATATTTACCATGCAGGAAAGACAGACAGAAGATTAAAATGGAGGCATCGTCATCTTTGTGGTCAAAAAGGGAAAAGGATTAAAATAAGAAGGAAAGAAGAAATGATTAATAAAGACAAAGAGAAAATGAGGAACCTGGGTATCAAGATCTGAAGAAGAATCCCTGGAAGCAGAGGAAAGAGAAGGAGTGAGGAGAGTGGTGAAGGAGGCAGAGCCTGAGAAATCTGCATTATCATGACTCCTCACTAACCCTATATTTGGATTCAATAACCTCAGCCCCAATGGCCACCCTTGTTGCTGCTTCACAATCACATTAATCCACACAAGAACTATAATCAATAAAGTGATACAATCACATAAAGCTTTTCTTCAACACCAACCCAACTGATTCTGCATATTATTTTCACAGCAACCCAGAAGAAAGAAAGAAAGAAAACTGGTACCTGTTGAGGCATATGAATAGTGTGTTTGATGGAAGAAAGCAAGAAATGGATGTGAAGGTGAAGGGTATAGAAATGAAGTGACTTGTCACAGAGAAGAGAAGAGATGGTACAGAAGAGAGAAAAGACGAAAAGGGAAAGGAGTGAGAAAATGAGTACAGAAACAGAACAGGGGAAGAAGCAGGGGAAGTGAGAGAATAATGGCGTGAGAAGAGCAGATTTATTTTTATAGAGGCATCTCTCCAGAGACAGTGTCAGACATTGAGACCATTGCACTTTGCTTGAACCTTGAACCCTCTTCTCTTTTTATTTATTATTATTA